GTCATCACTCAGAACATTGATGAGCTGCACAGGAAGGCAGGCACAAAGCACCTCTTAGAAATTCACGGTAAGAGTCGGCTCACCTGTCTGCCACAGGCCAGGAAACCTGGCGTGGGGAGTGAGAAGAAGGGAAAGCAGGATAAGAACAGAGAAAAGAATTTTGTCTTTAGAATTATAATAACTGGCATCAAGTTATTTACAGTAACACTCTGTTCTTGTTTGGAAGTTGTTTCAGGGGCTTTGTAACCTCTCTTTRTTCCTCATCTTTACAATCACAGAACTCATCTTTCTGTTTTCAATGGATTCTGACYGTACACAGGAACTGGTTCTCCCTTCTCACTTGCAGATCCACTTGAACTCATGTGGCTGTGATATCTGGCTGATTTCATTGAAAGTTAAAAGTGATTTCATTCGAAGTGATTCTCTTTCACTGAAAAGTGGAAGAGAATCTCCAAGGATTTTCACTGTGTGGGGTGGTGGTGTCAGACTGATRTCAATAAAGGGTGTATTGGCAAGCCTGGCCTCACAAGCCCTGGTGCTGTCCCTCTGCCATGCTGTGTCCTCTSCCCACCTGTGYAGTCCTTGGCTACAGGAGRACAAAGGCACTGGAAACAATTGAGWTTCCCTTACCTTTTTTTCCAACATCCAGTGGCTGTCTGCCTCTCTTCCCTGTAGTCAGTTGCATTCCTCCTTCCCACAAAGTGCCAGAGGAGCACAAGGCAGGTGCAGCACTTGGAGGTCAGTGGGGCTTCTGGATCTGAGGAAATGTACAGTTGTGGAGAGAAAGAGGGTAGGGAAGTTCTTCTCCATCCTTGGCGATACCCCACTCCTCCTTTCTCCACTCCTCAGGCCCTGCTGCAGAGAGGAGGATTCTCCCAGGACAAAGACCCTTCCTGACCCTCCAGCATTATGATGCTTTTTAACTCAAGTATCCCTAAGGGCTTAAATAGGATTTCCCATTGCTACTTTTGTGATTTGGATGCAGGAAACCTGCACGATTTTTTTTTTTTTGCAGTTTTGGGCCCAGTGATGAAGCCTTGGCTATAGTTTAATTTTGGTTATCTGTATGCCTTACAAAATGGACACTATCTTAAACTCTTGGTAATATTGCACATCTCAACAGCATGTTASCAATGCAATTGAACACTTGGATCCAGGAGTTTTGCATGAAACAAAATGGTGTTAACCAGCGTATTTTATTTAAGAAAATGTTTCTGATGTAAGAGGAAAGGCAGTAAACAGAAATCATCTACCTCAGTGATACTTTAAATTATGGTTTTCCTCTGAAATGTTATTCTGTGTATTATTCATGTCCTGAGGCCGAACAAGGTGACACTGGGACTATCTTTGCTGTTAYGTTACTGTAGTGAGTTACCTACAAGGTGCAGTCCTCAAAGTGTATAAATAAAGGCTGCCTGGGATAAACAMAACCACTTGCCTGCACAGCCACACCTCAGAGCCATTGCTTCATTCCTGATGTTTTGTCTTTGTGTGTTCCAGGTAGTTTATTTAAAACTCGATGCACCAGCTGTGGAAAYGTAGCTGCGAATTACAAGAGCCCGATCTGCCCCGCATTGGCTGGGAAAGGGTAACACATCCTCTTTCTTTCACTATTAAAAAAGGAAGTGGGCAGGGGGATGGGCCAGGCATATGCTCATCGATTTTAGGGGTTGTTTTTCCCTTTGCATTTCACCAGAGCTTTAGAAAGTTACATAAATAATTGTTGTGCCTTTGACAGTCTTGGCCAGCTTTATAACAGTTGCTCAGCTGCGGGATAATTCTGGACAAATTCCTGCCTGCCTTACGTGTGGTATTTTAGGATTGTAGTAGGTGTTGAAATTGGCTGAAGTTATGAAGATTCCTTGATTGGAGAGTGCGCTTTAGAGAATGCTTAGGCTGTTAGAGAATGCTAACTTTTATCTTAATTTATAAATTGCACTTGTATAACTGAATATGTAATTCAAATTTGTAACTTCAGGGCTCCAGATCCTAACACAGAAGATGCTGCAATTCCAGTTGAAGACCTTCCTCAGTAYGTATGGACCACATTGTTTGGGCTGTTACCTCTTCATGCCTTGTGTATCTCAGAGCTTCATGTTACTGTTCATGTAGTTTTGGAAGGACATCGAGACATTCCTCAGGAGACAATGGTGTGGGACTTTGCCCCAGAAAATTAAATCTAATGTTACAGGGACATCCAGCAAGGACTGTGTAGAAGTTACCATGGTGCTTAAAGGCATCACAAATTTGTATACTTGAGCATCAAGATGAAACGTGCCCAAATTCATGGGGTTTGTAGTAAGCTAAGTAGGAGAATTGCAGTGAGCAAATGCTGCAGCAGTAAACATTTTGTTACTTTGCAGKTGCCACCCACTGTTAGTCTGGGATACTCTGCTGGGGTCGTAGGCACTGAATGCGCCATGGTGCTTTTTTACACTGCCTGAAGCTTTGCCTTAGCTAGTTGCAGATGGAAAAAGCCACCACATTTTTCATCTGGTTTYTAAGGAAAAAGAGGCTAACACAATGCTTTTGCTTTTGGTTCATTTTCTCTTTAAAACCCTGTTAGCCAGTTTGTTAAAGCTGATGGAGGCCAAGGTTTTCGTTTTTGTGCGTTTCAGAGCTGAGTAAGGGCAACASACAATTCAGTATCTTTGCTGAACAACTGTTCAGCAGCCCCTTCCATGTGACCAGGCAGCACATGGGTACTTCCAATGTGTGTGGCATGGAAGGAGCTGCCTTCTGTCCAGCAGGYGGTGGAGGTGGGTCTGGGGAGGGTTGTGAAGGAGGAGAGAGTGATGGCAGGTGAGATGCCCAAGTGAGAATGAAAACTGCTTTGCCGTTCTGCAGCCTGAAACGCCCCTGTCAGMAGCGTGACACTGTCCCTTTGTGGTGTTTAAAGGTGTGAGGAGGACGGCTGCAATGGGCTCCTGCGTCCCCACGTCGTGTGGTTTGGTGAAGCCCTGGATCCTGCTGTGCTCACGGCAGTGGAGAAGGAGCTGGATATTTGTGACCTCTGCTTGGTCGTGAGTGGCTTTCCTTCCCTGTTCTCTGAACCAGCAGGGAGACCATGCTAAGGAGGTGCCATCTCCTGGGTAAAGCAGATGCATCTCACCTTCCCTGATGGAAGTAAAAGCCCCAGAGGGACTCTCTGGGGTCCAGTGTAAAACATCAAAAAAAGTTGCCATTTGAAATAACAGGTATAAAGATGTTAGAGGTTTGACAGTGTTTAGCTGTTGAATTTCACTCCCCCCCTACTCTGCTCTGTCGAGACCCYACCTGGAATACTGTGTACAGTTTTGGTGCCCTCAGCAATAAGAAGGACATGGAACTGTTGGAGCAAGTCCAGAGGAGGGTCATGARGTTGATAAGGGGACTGGAGAACTGCCCCTATGAAGAGAGGCAGTTGAGAGAGTTGGGGCTGTTCGGCCTGGAGAAGGGAAGGCTCTTGGGAAACCTTAGTGTTCCAGTACCTGAACAAGGGGTGATGGCTTTAAACTAAAAGATGGTTGGTTTAGATTAGATACACAGAAGAAATTATTTACTGTGAGGGTGGTGAGGCATTGGTACAGGCTGCCCRAAGAAGCTGTGGATGCCCCATTCCTGGAGGTGTTTAAGGCCAGGCTGGATGGGATTTTGAGCAACCTGGTCTATAAAAGGTGTCCCTGCCCCTAGCAGAGGGGTTGGAACGAGATGATACTTAAGGTCTCTTCCAACCCAAACCATTGTATAGTTCTAATTTGTCAGTGAAAAATACAATTATTTTGATGCTTAGTTTAAAAAAAGTAAGTTATAATGTGTTTCTTTTTTGCAAGGTGGTTTACATGCCATGTAGGTTCCAGATCCCTAACCAAAACACTTGGTTAGACTATTGTCTTYTCTTTATGGAATGGTCTCAAGTAACAGAAGGAATGTTTTTATTTTTCCTGAAGCAAAGTGTGCCCTTTTGTTTCTGGGATATTTTTCATCTACATTTAAAATCTGGTTTCTTTGGGCTGCACTAGAGAAAGAAATCCTGATAGTTACACTATGTTAAACAGCTACATACACAGTGACACTAGAGATACTGATTTGGTTTCATTTCTGTAGGGATCTCCCAGGCTTTAGTGCCCATCCATTGTTGGGAGCAGGACCCTCACCTTGGGGCTGGGTTGTTTTGGTCTGTTTAAGCACTGTCCTGCCAYGCTTGTGACCTGCTGCTTCTGTCCTGCTGCCCGCAGGTCGGGACCTCATCCGTGGTGTATCCCGCAGCCATGTTCGCCCCGCAGGTCTCTGCCAGAGGAGTCCCCGTCGCGGAGTTCAACATGGAAACCACTCCTGCCACAAACAGGTTCAGGTAAAGCTGCTCAGGMAAGCAGGCTTTAGTCTCCTGCACCTGATCTTTCGCATCCCCGTTGCTGAAACACTGGGTTTAGACAAATACGGTCTCGTTTTCACCTTWGCGCTCACAAAATACTACGTTTCTGTTAGTAAGCCAGAAAATATGAAATTTCTTGGTGGAATCAAGTTTCACTGAAGATACAAACCGTGTTTAAGTGTGAGGCTGAAGTCTGTCCCTACGCCCCAGAAGGCCTARACCTCTCCTCTTCCCTCCCTCCTTCCTATCCCCCTGCCAGATGCGCCAGGTAACAAAGCAGGGAGCAGCGGGATGCGCTGGTGGGTGCCCGCACACTAAACCTGTCCCTTCCTTCCAGGTTCCACTTCCAGGGCCCATGTGGGACCACGCTGCCGCCGGCGCTGGCGCGACACGAGACGGAGATAATCTCCTGAGCCCCGGGATCATCTCCTGAGCCCTGGGATCATCTCCGGAGCGCCGGGAGCGGCCCCGCCGATGGGACCCAGCGCGGGAGCGGGCGGGCCGGAGGCGGCGACGGGACTCGTCCCCACGGCAATAAAGGCACGGCAGCGAAGGCTATTCCCGATGTCCTGTGTCTGTGCGTGGGCGGGGCGGGACGGGGCGGGGCCGGGCACGCATCCCGGCTGTCCCGGCGCTCGGCATTCCCCGGCGGAAGGCGGGAGCGGTTCCGGGGCGGGCGGCGCAGGAGCCGTGGCCATGGTGCGGCGGCAGAAGGCGAAGGCGATGGCTGCGGGCAAGCGCCGGGCTCCCGCCGCGCTCCCCAGCCCGGCCRCCTCCTCGGAGGACGAGGCGGACGAGGCCCCGGAGGAGGTGTCCTTCGGCGTGGCGAGGGAGGCGGCCTGGGCCGAACGGAAGCTCGTGGGGGASGCGGCCCGGAGGTGCGGACGCGCCGGGGCCTCCTGCTCCCGACCCACGGCTCGCACACCAGCGCTTCCCTCCTCTTACCCCCTCCTCTTAGCCCTACTCTTCTCGCCCCTCATACCTGCCCCTTATTCCCTCGCTTGCCCCTCTAAACCCCCTTCCACCCCTCTTACCCCTGTTCACGCCTCTTACCCGTCTTTTCTTCCCCTTACTTTCTCCCTTATCCTTGCTTATTTCCCCTTATTGCCTCTCCCTCCCCCCCGCCTCCATCTACCTTCTTACCCCACCATCCCCCTTATGCCACCCTTAACCCCTCTAAATCCCTTTTACTCTTATTATCCCCTCTTCCCTATCCCCCCACTTGCTCCCTCCAGCACCTTGGCCCTTCCAAGCCCCTCCAAGCCCTCGTTCACCCTCTTTACCCCACCGTTAATCCCCCTTCTGATCCCATGGAATGCTGACGGTGCCTACCGCCTTCCCGCAGGCACCGGGAYTTGCTGAAGGAGAAGCGCCGGCGGCACCAGGAGCTGTTCGCGGAGCAGAAGGTACCGCGCTACCCCCGCCGGGTTCTGGGCGGACCCGGGGTGTCTGTGCCGGGTGTGTGTGTGCCCACCTGACTCCCCTCTCTCCTGCAGAAACGCAAGCTGCTGCCCGAGGCCGTGCTGCAGGAGCTGCAGGATGTGTCCMCACGGTGAGGGGCCCAGGGAAGGCRGTGCTGGGTGTTGGGTCATCTCCACATCTCCCACTCGTGGTCCAGCCCTCTTCGGGTCCTGGCTTGGGAGGCCAAGCTGAAAACAAGGGCGTTTGTGGCTTTGGGTAAACCAAGGGARTGTGAATGGAGTAGTAACCTGTTGCCTTCCCCTTGCTCCCCAGGCCCGCCGAGCAGGCTGCAGCAGATGACCCAGGTACGCTACCAGCCCGCTTTGCTAATGCCGTGCACATCTGGCATCTCAGGAGTTCATTCCTATGCCAGAGCTGCAATGGTCAGCTCTGGTTAAGAGACCTTTGCAAAATCTGAAACATGAACACGCAGTTTTTCCCCAAGGAAAAGAAATACCTGAGGAAAAATCTAAAGTCACATTTAATCTAATTCTTGTACCTTTTACAGAAGTCGCTGTACAGTTAATTAGCTGTTCAGTTAAATAGACTGAATTGTTTAAGGAAATCATAGGCAGGTGTGATAGCAGAAAAAGCAATGGCTACCAACGGTGGTTTAATACTTAGCACTTATTTAAGTTATAAAGGCTATTCCTGATAGAGTTGTTAGATTGCCTCAATACTTTACATATCAAACTACAGTTTAATAGCAGCTGTGAAATATTAAGTAGCTTTTCCAAATTCAGAACTACACAGTCAAGGGTCTGGAGTGTTTCTATGACTGCTGTTTTCTCTTCATCTGTACTTCGAAGTATTTCACAAAAAAAAAAAAAAATTATTTGAACAGTTCTCTTATCCATACCTCACATRCTGCTGGATGGTGTAGCTGCTGCTTTTTCTTCCTTTTATTAAAAAAAGATCTGTTGTACGGGCATAATRAAGAGGTGAGCTGAGAATGAAGCAAAACCGAAACCAGAGCTGCATTTCCCTTTATGGGTTAACCATAGCTGTTGTGTTGCACTGAATTTTTGTCCCATGATGAATCCCACTTTGTTGGTGCCAAGGAAGAGGAAAGCTGGCTAGCAGTGCTTTGGGTTGCTCCCCTGAGCATATTTCTCCCCCTCCCTCTTACAGCTKTTCTTACTAGTCAGTGCTTCTGAAAAATGCTGCTTGTTTATGTCCTGTTCCTGTTTCACTAACTGGTTTTGATTTGTAATGCTTGGGAAATTTTGTGTTCCAGTTACTCTGGGTGAAGAACTTGATGGTGARGCTGCACAGCTGGAACAAGGCCAAGCTGAAGTGCAGAAGAAAGGCAAGAGGAGCAAGGGTGCCAGGTAGGAGGAGGAGGAGTAGGTGACTTCGCCAGGTGTGGGAGGGGGCATCACAGCAGCTGTTCTGTCACTTCATATTCCCYGTCCTTCYTCTGATTGAAAGCAYGTTTATGTGCTAAAAGCACCTTYAGTACCTYCTGCTTTAGCRTACTTATRTRTGYRTRYATATATATATATATATAWWRWAWRTWKWTWTWTATWWMWTAYATATAACTGCGATGAGGTAACTGGGCAGTCCTGAGCACTGCAGTACACCTTGTGTGGTGCACTGCTGCAGGTGGGGTGGTTGAGAACAGAATTCCTGCATTTCAATCTATTTTTCTCTCCCCTCTTTCATTTCTTTGTCACTGATGGCCCTAGAGAGGAATTGCACTAACTTCTGGTAGGATGAGCTTGAGACTTCCAAGAAACTACGCAGGGCACACAAAGGCATATGACAACAGCTTGGAAGTATTGGTCCAGATTTTTATTTTTTAATACTGCCATAAAGCTCATCTGAGTATCAGAAACCAGCACTGGGTGCTACCGTGCTCAAGCAGCAAAGCTTGACACCAGTCTGGTTGTTCTAGATTCTGTAACCACGTTACAGGGATTTACATCTCTCTTTAACTAGGACRAAAGGAAACTATGCTGCTGTGTGCCTTAAAGACCAGAGTTTAACAGGCCTCCACCAACAGCTCGCCAAAGACTTTCTAAATGCTCAGCTCTATGGGCCACACACCAATCGGGTACAGGGTAAGCYGGTCTACTTGGGTGGGTTTGTATAGAGTCTTGTCTGGCTTAAATGTGATTAACACTTGTCTCCATTTCAGCAAATGATTTTTTTTCCATTGCAAACAAGAAAGACCCAGTCAAAAAAGCCGCAGTTCAGTTTGTGGACAAGTCTTGGGGTGAGTATTGAAAGTCAGAGTAGGAACTTTTTAATGCATATGTGGTTAAAGGTACACTTGAATACAATCAGGGTTTCCATGCCAGAGGGTCATGGCTTGTGATCCTCTAACTCCAAGCACCTGGATAGTATGGGAAGGGCAGCAGGGCACCGCATYCTCAGTGGGTGCCATAAGCACACACCTGGGCACCATGTATGAGACACAAGTTGAAAAAAATTACCTCATTTTTGTTAAGAAACAGCTGTTGTCCTAGAGCAAGAGTTGCTTGGTGAAGTAACTTCAGTAGGCGTTGTTTCAGCCTCCAACTTCTGAGCTGTTGGAAGGCATTTCAGATATACCTAAAAAGCAGGGATACTACTTCTATGTGAGCACCTGTTTCTTCTCGTTTCCATGATGGATGGGGATAGAGCCACACCCACCCAGTTTGTGAGGCTCATGAACACCAGAGGCAAAAAGCAGAGCCTGCTTTCCAGCTGTGCTCCATCACTGAAAGCACTGCTGTACCCCCTATGCTCCTGAAGGAGCTTGCTGCAAGCTGGTACCCCTGGCCCATGGAAGGCAGCTGGGGCATATAAAATACCATAGGAAGTTCATCAGTGTTTGAGGTGGTTGTTCAATTCTGAAATGCTGCAGCGTCAAGGGATTGCTGCTTCTCCAGCGGATGGGCTAAGAAAAATGGTAATTAACAGCTTTTTTCTTTGTTTTTTTTTTTAAGGACAAGATAAAAAGGAAAAAGCAGCAAGGTTTAAGAAACGTTGGCTAGCAACACAAATTAAAACTGGAGTCTGAAGACAGGTTTTGCAGAAGATGCTGTTAAGGACTTTTAGTCACAGTTGATCTCCACATGACAAAGGTGTTTTCTCCCCCCCTTCATCATCACTTGGCTGCAACTGAAAACAACCAGAAGGCACCGAGCTGTGCCTGATCAGACTTCCCTGTTCTCTCCCGTCCCCCTTTCWGAAGTTCCTGGGGAAGCTACAAAGCAGCTGGGTCAGTGTTGTAGAATAGGTGGTGCTAGGACCAGGCTTGCTGAGCTGCCTCCATGAGGCAATGCCTTTGCAGAGAATAAAGATGAGCAATGTTGTGCCTACTGTTGTGGATGCTGCATTCCTTACAGCAGGCTTCCTGCTGCTTCAGTGACTTCCATCTCTGAGGAAAGGCTGTAYCCTAACAGCAGAATCATTAAGTCAGCTCACACAGCAGGACCCTTCTCTCTAGCCTGATGATTACTTTCAAGCAGTAAGGGATTTTCCCCATCTTCAGGGGGTACTGAGTAAGCTTCTGCACTATTAGCCACACTCGCTGTGTGGCAAGAACACAGCAAGCTTTTCACTTCAACCAGCCCAGCTCCTGCAGGGAAGTGGCAGCCCCAGCTTGAGGGATGAGCCACTCCACTTGTGGATCTTGGCAAGAACCACTGTTCTAGGCTAGAGCTCCAGAACAAGAAAATGTAGCATACAAGTCCATGCTACAATGTATGTAGATGTAAGTTTTTAATGGCTGGTTAATTATGATATCACTACATTTTATTGCAATATAGTACTATTTAAGCACTTTTAAAAATGCAAGGTGTACAAAGATTAAATTAAGACTGTAAATTGACTAAATATTTGGTTTTTATATAAATAGGTCATAACCACACTGTGTTGACATGTAATACTGTTACAATACAACAGTTAAACTGGTGAGCCTACACAACAGAAGCTGTCTGTAGTTAAACAAGGAAACAAAGTTGAAAAGACCATGTTAAAACAAAAAAACTACTAAGATCAACAGGTTGGGATTGTAAGTAGCAACGAACATATTCACTCAGCTCCTGAGTAATTCAAGTTTTACAGTACACATTAAAAAATATCATTTCTTCCCATCAACACTATATATCCAAACCATTTGCATTTTGCAAATTACACTGATTGAACTATGTAACAATGGGGGTGGAGGTTGGCAAGTCATCCTGCTTGACGTTTATATCACCCACATGCTAATACATCCATGTTTTCTATTCTTCGTCCCACCACAAGGTAGCAGGATTTTTGGTTTGTTTTGGACAATCGTTCAAAGGATTGGTACTTGTCAATTTGGATGTCTGACGTTACCAGTGATAGTTTCAACTCTTAGTTGTCTAAGAGGTTTAAAGATTTTCTCCTAACACTAAGTTAGAAATCATTTGCATCATGCTGTAAACTAGGAAGCAACATAAAGCGACAGACTCGTCCTTAGTACATAATTAAAATTCCAAATTCCAGTCAGCAGAGCTGGTCTACTTTCCATGTTGAATATGCCACAACACCTTTCAGACCTTCAAAATGCATAGCTAGTGTAGGTAGTCTTCCACGGTGGCGAACGCACAGGATCCAATTCCTGACCGGGCCATCAATCCTAGACACTGTGACGCCTGTCCCATGGCAAGGGCAAGCGGCGGTTGCTTTGGCAGATTGTGAGTCTCTGAAAAAGAATCACAGTGGCAGTTTAATAACCTGAATATTWTCATRGTAATACACTGAAAACTTGACAYYTAAGCCTACTCCAATCATTCATTTKCRAAGTTKGCTCTYRGAGCAAGRTACAAAGCAGGAGCAACMAAGTGACCGTGCACAGCACCATTATTTAACAGGCCCATTTTTGCTCTGAACTGCAACAACAGATCAAGTACCTGTTACATTACATACCCCCCAAACTATCCCTTCCTCCCAGTAGAGCGTACCCTCCACTGCTATCCTTTCCTTACTCCCTCCGAGTATGGTGCATGGTGGAGCAGGAGGGCCACCTGTGTGGGACAAGGGAGAGGCACCCTGAGCAGCCTGGGCTGCCACCAGGCTGTACTCACCTAGTATTGCACTATTCAGTACAGAGCACACTGGTTCTCTTTGTATCGGGTCAAGCTGATTTCCAACAGGGCTGCTCCAGGGATCGGAATATGCAAGTAAACTGAATGCATCCTGAGGGAAGATGACTCTGATTACATCTCACAGYTATAAGCTACTAGTGAAAAGAAGGACTATTTTGTTCAACCATTTTGATTTAGAATCACAAAGGTGACTTTCAGTGTCCGTCAATACAAAAAGATAAAAATAAATTGTAACAGGACTAGTTCCATTCCCAAAAGCAAGGCAAAAGGAAGCCCCATTTTACTAAGTGATGGGGTAAGAGAAAAGAGACTGAAAACTGCATGCAGTCTTTGGCAGGGGAATTATTTTCCAGAGCAKTCTCAAATCAAGGCAAACTAATTAACATGCAGAGTACTAATGACAGCACAATTTGGGCATCTCTACCAATCCMCTTGTGGTTCATTTATCATTAGAGACAAAAACAGCACTTTGATTCAAGAGGCCAAGTTATGTGGTCAGAAATGAGAGAAAGTGCTAAATTAATTTCTGTGTTTAATTATGTAACAATGAAAATTATCTTCCCTGTGCRTGTGCTATGGAGACAAGAAAGAGGACAGTGCCACATCAGAGCTGACCAGAATACTGCTTTCAGACACACAAAAAATGGCAGAAGTTACAGCAGAACAGTATTCCAGTGCAGCATGCTGTGGAAAGTTCCTGCTGGGCAGAACAGTATTCTCTGTARCAACAGGATTAAACATTACCTTGAGCATTTTCTTATTCACTGTGTTTTTGCCACATTCTCTTCTTAGCTGCTCACTCATTGCTTGCAATTCTCTTCCAAAATGGATCATCCTTTCAATGGCTGCTTGGCTGCCACCACATAGCTGGCGTCTTAACTGACTTGAATCTACTTCTGAAAAAACGATATCGTCATCATCACCACTGACAGAGCAGGGGGCAACAACCTATGGATCTAAAGAATCTGCATTGATTGCACTCTAACAGCAGCTGCCTGCCCAGAGAGAGCACATCAAGCCAGAGACTCTGGCACCACGTACTTCTCTACTAAGCAAAGGCTGTCAGCATGTGCTGTTTATCTTGCAATGTTTATCTGTTATTTTAAACTAACTASAAGATAAACCAGATTTTACCCTAAAATTTTAAGGGAGTTTAAACAGCAACAGTAAGAGTCCACACAGTTCTAACTTCTATAATTCTTTGGCATTGCATTTCTAAAGATCTACCAAATCTGTAATTACTGATAAAAAGATTAAAAATGCCGAACTTCCTAAACAGCCATGATGGATTCCGCTACAAGACAATCATTTAGACCGTTCATACTCCTCACAGAACACATTATGTTAATAATTTGGATATTTCAGGCTTCTTTTGTAATAAGCAGGATACTAMAACTGATTCCTTTACTGTTTCCCACAATATTCCCCAATACTAGTGATTTTAAAAGATATTGATGCAGCTTATGAACAGTAAAACAACATTTTGCTTCTTTGAAAATGCTGCCTTTTTTAAACTGACACCTAAAACAACACATTAAAAAAAGGCATTTATCCATTCCTTGTCTTTTTTCATCAATGGAATAAGGTTTTAAAATGAGCATTTTGATAGACTCTTCAATTAGAAATCCATTCTCCTTTCTGACTTTAACACTGCTATTTAGTGATGTATTTTGACTACTATTTTCTACAAGGATTTTTAACTGGCCACTTCTTTTTCCTTAGATATAAGTATATCACACCTGGAAAATACCAGCATGCTTAACCKTACACACACAGCACTACGGAGAATATATAAATATTTCAAAAAAGTGAAAAACCACCAGCCTCAAACTATGGGGGAGTAAACAGTAAGTGAAGCACCCCCAAGTCTTCAGGTGGTGGTGTTTGTCCCTAGCTCAGCCTAATCTAGGACATCACTTTCCAAAAGGAGGAGACAACGACATTACAAAAAACACAACTCTGTGCCCTGTGCAGCTGCTCCATGTCTGTCACAGCAAGTCTCTGTGGAAAAGGCTGCAGAGCAGCGAGAATGTATTTTGGGYTTTTTGTCACAGAAATGAAGCTTTGTTATTATCCAATTTCAGAGCATAATGCAGGGAGCAACTTGCATTCCTCCTTCCAGGGCAGTAACAGAATGACACTCGCTGTTCAACAGTTACCTGGTGTTTCCCAGCAAAGCTGCAGGATCACCAGCAGCAGCACCACATGCCCTGGAACYAGGAAGTGCTCACAGACCTCTGCACACACTGTTGCATTCTCAAAGTCTCCAGTTTCACATTTCATTTAAACAACCTATTAACTGACATCTGCTTAAATCAATTGTTTGAGTACCAATTCTGCAGCTGCACAAAGGGCAAGCAGAGAGGATTTAAATACTCATTTGTCACCAACATCAACAGGTATGACAGAGTATAACACAGATTATATAAAACAATCTTAATTTTTAGCCCACAACTATAAAAATTAGTAATTTGTTTTGTGGCAAACATGGAAAAAAAGTAATTTGCATTTTTYACATTTCCCCAATACAGCTCTTGAGCATTAAATATTAGCACTTTGCATTCTTCAGTATGAGAGATTTAGAATGTCTGTGCTTACTGTGAAACACAAAAATGCCATGAGAACCATGAATGGGAAGACGGAGAAGCAATTTGCCAACTCAAATACAGCGTGCTACACAACAGGTTGTTTCTTCTCAAAGGTACTTCCTTAGAAATTGAAGCTAGTTTCAGTAGCCATGAGTTACCTATTCCACCTGTTCTCATAGTGATATCGGACCACCCAAATCAATGGTTATAAAATTTACGTCTAGTAACAGCAAAACACACAAAAAAATAAAGATTTCAGCTAATAACCCTTATTTTCAAGTTGGGAAGCATTGCAAGTAAAAACATAACCTTGTTGCCATCACTTAATAAAAATGTAAGAAATATCACTGCAGACCCATTTCTGTGTCACATTCTTCCATTTCGTGATCATGTTTAGAACTACCATTTAGGAAGCCATTGGACGAAGTCTCAGCAACCCCATTGGAGTAGTGATCTGTTTCCATGTCTACATCATTGCTGGAAAGAGAGTAATGAATGTTAAGTTTTACTCKTATTTAAGGACCTAGGTTATCTTTACAATTTCATCACAGTAATTCCTCATTTTAGCTACTGAAAAGCTGCTTTAAATATTACCACGACTGACCACAGTTTATTYCAACTGGTGATACCAGAGCACCGTGGAAATCTTTAAGGCTGTCTCAATGTTAGTATTCGGTAAAATAGCATGTCCTCCATTATTCAGGAGTAAGGAAACATAACACTTTCTAAATGCACACCAAAAAGTTCTTACCTGGTTTATGTATCTGTATGTACACAGAGATAGACAGAATGCATTGAGAAAATATACTATTCCCACTTTTTAAAAAAAAATGTAGTTAAGTCAATACGCATCCTACTTTGAAAATACCATTTTTAGGTAACTAATTATTAAAAAAATGCCTTGTTCCCTTACTCTGTGGAATGAGAGAGGAAAAACAAAAAAATAAAACGTCAAAGMAAATGCTGAGTAACCAGAACACTGAAGAAACACTCAATGGCAAATGCAGAGCATTCAACTCCTCACCACCCTTTGCTTGCAGCCGGCCACAGAAATGCATTTAGAAAATGCCAGCATGGCTTTGGGGACTGAGCTTTGCTGACAGTTGCATCCTAGCCTGTTCTATTCTGTCACAGAGAATAGCAACCTAAACCCTCTGTCAAGACCAAATAAGATTCAATTTAGAAGTTTAATATCTTGCTTCTAAGCAACCAAAARTACTCAGCTTCCTTTGAGGAAGGAAACCAAAAGGCCTCTGACTGGGCAACAGCACAGCCAAAGAACTGTCTTCCTCCGTGAAAAATTTCCAAGTTGCCTGGACACTGTGAGGGCTTTTGGCAGATACAATTGCTGATGCAGACAGAAATTGTGGAAAGCTAAAAAGTAAATTGTTACTCTTACCTTTTTACCCCAAATATCACTATCCAACTAAAATAATTTTGGTCATCTCCACCACAAAATCACATCCTATGTGGTAGTTTTGGGAATTCATTTTGGACAATGCAGCTGAGTGCTGCTGCATTTCACACCAAGTTAGGTTCTCCTGCATCCATGGAATCTAGAGCTTTATATTTACTGGTTATGAACCCTCATTAATAGATTTATTTTMATTCTCTGGATTGAATGCATTTGCACTCATGACAGTGACCGGAGTAGGCAAACAATCCTGGTGTATACAGTGAAAGGGAATCCACACTTCATATGCATCTCAATTGCTTTTACTGTGCCACAAACRGAGAGTATCTGGAAAATGTTTCCTTACCTATGTACAACACACTTAAGTCAATGTCAACGGCTTAAATTAAAATCCCAAGTGCCAAAGAGCCAGTTAACCTTCACTGTGCAACTTCAAAACTGATCATAGCTATAAGCAAGGTAACTTATTTTTGTCCCTTGCATTTCTTTAACCCAAGAGGAGAAAATGGTCCATTGAGTTTGGACTGTCAAAATAACCGTTAGACCCTYACACAGTGTTTCAACTGTCCCTGGAAAAAAAAAAAATCGATCACCTCAAATCCCACTGAAAACTCTTCCCTGCATTGCAAACACATGGACAACACMAGCCTTAATGTAATTTAGAAGCATCTAAAGTTTATTTACCTGGAATAGCTGTTAACCTGCTGTGATCTTGATACATTTATGTTGTTGAGCTCTGGTACATTCAGGCTGGTGGTCGTGTGTTTACTGTGACAGTAAGACTGATGCGCTTTATTTGATATTACTCCATTACTGCAACTACTTTCAAACCCTGAAAGAAAGTTTTAACAACTGTAATCATAAAGTGGTACTTAGAGATAAGTCTGTAGATAAAAGTGACATAAGTGTATACTGACCAAGATTATGCTAAATTTGTCACACAAACTCAAGTACTTCACCTCCATGTTTCAGGTTATTTGAACCTTTAAGACTTCTAAAGTGCAGRAGTTAAGCATTATTTAACAAGTACAAACACAGACATGAGAAGGTTTTTCCAGTTGTACTAATACACTAGTAAAACAGAAAACTGCACAAGTGTAGAACAGCTTTTTAGAACAGATGCGTTCAAAATCTTTTCCAGGCCACTGTAACCATTATGAATGGAAGCAAACATTACTAATTCCTGATCACATAATTCTTTTGATATTCAGTGCCCAGAATTCAGTGCCCAATACTTTGCATGTTGCTAAATTTACATACAACCTTCCTGCTTCATCATGTAATTATTTTAATTGTTAATATTATGCTTTGCTAAATAAAATTGCACCATGCTGTGAAATTACAATGCCTAGCTAAAATCCCTTCTGACCCCCTAAAATATAACAGGAAAACTACTATTTGAAGCAAACATGTAATTGCCAGTTCCATCAAACCAAGAGCTCCCTAGTATCTTCTAAAATAGRAAAAGGTCACAGGAAGGGTTTATTATAAAGAAAGCAGCTGCTGCCATTTATAAAMTCCCAAACATCAATTCTAATAATACATTCAACAACCTGCCTCTATTTTCAAAATTAGAAAAATTACAGGTACTTTCTRTAATACATCCCAATAACCACCTGAAGAACAAGAAGAAAATTTGAGTGGATCTCTGCTGATACACATGATGGCACTCTTGATACACACGAAAGAAAAGTGAAGCTGCTGTCCTTCCAAGGGCAGCAGTTACTCTGATGGCCAGGCTACACGGCTTTTCCACTCCATCCCCAAGAGGAAAAAAAAATAAAGCACCTTCAATAAGCTCCAGTCTGGATTTGGAAATTAAACAAAAATGAAAGCTGATGGTCCTTGTGATCTTAAAAGCCTTAGTCTTCAAGGATGCCACACTCRGGTACCATTTTAACATGCTCAGCTTTCTCTCAGCAGGGGTGCTTTGGATGGCACAGGAATCTCCCCACATGCTTGGGGCAGCTCTGAACATTTGTGCCTTCCCACTAAAGATTTCCCGTTACCTAAATGCTGTAAGAAATGTTTCAGTTGTGCAGACAGAAAYGTAGCTGCCAGCAGGATGTCTTTTACCCAACCATACCACCCAGCTTCTGGTGTTTCCTGCTCAACCGCAGCTATTCTGACTTCTCCACCAACACCACAGGAAATGGATCATATACACCACTTACTGGGTTTAAACCACCTTGCCCAAGCCATAAATTATCATGAAAAAGGACAACAGAAATTTATGTCAGAACTTCTACCTCCCAAAGGGAARCACTTCTTAGAAATTGGTGGCAATCTGCTTTAGAAGAAGTAAAGCCAAGAGCACATGCAAAAACTATGGGATGAAACTTTTGGTTTGCCCAGTGACTGGAAATCACATATTTTAATCATTAAAATTAATTCTATTATACAAAGCATTCAGCATAAAATCTTAAGTAAAACAAATGATGASTCTGTGACTAACTTCTCCAAATACTTATTTTTTTTTTTAAAAATCCACATGGTGTGGTATGCTCAAATCTATACAGTCTATCCTCCACATGAACTTACCAGTAAAGTGTGTGTTGCTCCCTTTGCCTGTTGCCAAATTGTGAATATTCATTCCATGGCTGGGACTCATGCTAGGACTACTGAATGACCGTGGGCTAACAGGGTAACTATCTTGAGATTTTGGACTGTGGCCTCCCAAACACCGCACTTCACTGTCTGTACCATTCACCATCTCTATGAACTGGCGCACCCTAAACAAAAGGCAAAAAGTTAAGCTAATAAAACCATTTACACATTTCCAATTACCAACGATAGCAATGATTTCATTGTAGCGTTAAATATTGAACAAGTCTGACTCAACAAAATGCTGGATGTCAGTAACCCAATCGTCAATAAGCTCTGGAGCATTYCACCAAAAATAGCAATTACAAATTTGTGAGGGAGAAGAACAGGAGTATTATCCTTGGAGGACAACCTTTGTCACTAAGTCCTCAAAATTTAGAGAGTTAAACGATATTTTCTTGTTCTGTTTTCTTTTATAGGCAGGGGCAAGGCTATTTTTTGAGAAAGATATGTTGTTATTTTGTCATGTCTGTCATTTCTCTCAAAGTAAATGAGAACAGAGTTTGACTGTCTGAAACACTAAGCATTAAAAGGTAATTCTTTATATTAAACATCTGCACTAGAAAACAGTTTGAAAAGCAAACTCCCATACAAACCTTCCCTTTAGAGGCTGCTGCTCTGTGTCAATTTCATTTTTGATAAGGAGGTTTTACTACAGACTTTTAGGAAGCTCAGAACTACTGCTTTATGTTTTAGGCTTCAGTAGCCTCAATAGAACAGGCAAAATTTAGAAAGACAGATTGAGAAAAAGATAACATRCAATTGACACTATTGAGTGAAGTCTTTCATCAAAATGTTCGCATTTTGTGAATTCTGTGATAAGTCTGGAGTATTATCACGTGAATTCTTTTCAGCACTTGAGCATGACAGACTTCAAACACATTCCAAATTACTTATCTGAACGTAAAATTAAAGTGCTTTGTTCTTAGAGGAGATAACGCATTTTTTCCACATTCAAACACTGCAATGTGATACAAAAGTCTGGAGAACAGTGCAGCTGGCAAGTAAAAATGCCAGAATGAAGGTGACTATTGTGTGCCTGGGAAGCCAAGAGAACTCTGGGATTATGGAATTTCCAGCTTTAGCCAGAGGTTTCTAGTAAAGTGGCATGGAATGAAACAGCTCATTTAAACTGTTATTTAAAGTCAGTCACCCCTTTGGAGGAACAGACTAACTTATGCCAACAGGATTCTTAACCTTCTTGAATGTGGTACTGTATCAGTTTCCATTTTAAGTTTTACTTGACACCCAAATGGATTAAAATTCATAACAAAAAACTACAAAACTTAGTTCTAGAGAAGAAGTCTACAGGGAGACGTGAATTATGCTGCAAACCGGGACCTTGATGACAAAACCTAGTTAAACATGTAGCAAATAAGAAGAGCATAAAAAAGTGAAATATACACATTTTCTAAAAAGCGCTGCTTAACTTTGTATAAATTTCTGTGAAAGCTTTAAATGAGTAACTGTCTTGTCTCAGAAGGTACTGTGCCATCTATAAACACACATCTGTATAATTTGAAGACTCACTTTAATGCAAATAAGAGATTAGGATTTCTTTCTAGTAAACTTGGATACAACTGTTGTGTTGTTTCAATGGCTTCTCCCATTCTTCCTGCTAAAACCAATTTCTGAATTCCTGTTCACCAAAAAACAAATAAGAGATTAGGATTTTTTTCTAGTAAACTTGGATACAGCTGTTATGTTGTTTCAATGGGTTCTCCATTCATCCTGCCAAAACCAATTTCTGAATTTCCGTTCAGCAAAACCAACATCAGTTAAACGGACAGCTTATGGATTAATACACGTACATTAATGATTAAAGACACTGCAACCATCAATCAACAAGATTTTTTTCCTTTTAGAAAAAAATAGTGCAAAGAAAGATCATGCTTCCTTAAAATGTTCAACAGGAAAATTTTAGAACTGCACTCCACCTACTTGTATCTAAATGAGAACTCAGTGTTTTTATTTATTGCCAGCATCCAACTGCTTTGTAGTCAGATCGTGCATTTAGAGCTAGAATAAGATCACAGACATTCTTCTGTGATTTATTTCTCATTTTCACAACTTTATATATAAGCACATACAAAAATACTGTCACTCAAGAACATCCAAATTGCATCCCACTCCTACAGGTTCAATTTTGAGTACGAAAAACAAAAATCTTGTCTCTCTCACCTATAACACATACTTCCAGTCAGATTACAGTTGAGTAAAACYTTTCACAACAGTCCCTGCTTTAGTTGATGCTTCTGTGGCTGTAACGTGGCTCAAGTTGCAAACAGCCTCCCAGCTCTATCAACCAACAGAGAAACTGATCCAAATGAAAAATAGCCCAACAAATGTCTTGTTTTACAACCAGTTTCCCCATGTGGCATCTCATATGGTAACAGAAATGCTTATGGTCATAGAGCAGGAATTTAAATGGAAGGGGAAGGCACTGTTCCATCAGGCTGCCAAACAGCACTGGCATGGCAAGTAAAAACTGAATTGCTGTTGGTTCTCCTTGTCSTCTAACCCCTCACATCTGTAAGCAGGAAAACTCAAGTTTCATTTAAGTTATCAAAATTCTCTAAACTCAATTCCTTTTCACAGTTCAGAAAAAATTTAAATATTTGTCAAGACTAAGTTTTATATTCCTGTTTGTGGCTGACATTAGCTCTCACAAACACTCAGACATTACACATATTTGTTTAAGGCATCACAACTTTCATTCAAGAGAAAAGRCAACAGGTAATTTACCACATTCTGCTACATCAAACAAGTTACAAAGTATTACTGCGAAGATTTTTCGTACCCAGCTGCTCATACATGTGTAACATATGACAGCAAAGAACTGTGCTATGGTGTAAGTGCTGCAAGGAAATTCTACAGTACTGCTTAARAGAAACCTTTATATAACATTTTTTTAAAGAAGGAAAAGAGGGATGCAACRTGCTTTCCAGCCTTACTTTGTCTGTTCTTAATGGAAGCTAATTCTTCTAGCACAGTCTGGTCTGTGGATCTGGCGAATGCCTCTGCTGTTGCACAGTATCCATGGTGAACTAAGTAAGATGATACCATTCTAAAAATAAACAAAAACACAACTCGGAAGTACTCACTAAATACAGGTAAGAAACCAAGAACTTTTGAATGTAAAAACCCTTTGCTAAAAAAAAGGTGATTGAATGAAAAAATTCTATTTGAAATGCAGAGATTTCTGTAAAAGTCAGACAGAAGTAATTCAGTTAAGGGCCAGTATATTCTTCAAAGCAGAAAAATATACAGAAACCTTTTTTTTAATAATAAATGAATAACTTTATCATTATGATTTTTTGTAACAATTATTCAACACCCAAAGGCAGGGTCAGTTACAATATTAACTGCTAATTAAGATGAGGGTTTTTTTCTCATTACATGTAGTGAAGTGAAATTGCTGCACATAAGTTTTTGTTTTCACTGAAAAAAAAACTGCAAAGTCACTACCACCATTTTTCCAAGAAACACCAGTGAGACACAACTTTACCTAGAATGCCAACGGCTGAGAACACAAAGCAAAATTTCCAGACCTCAGAGTATTAAAACTGCCCATTACAACCATGGCAAATTTCATAAAAACTCCCCAATCCACATTATAGGATAGGTCAAATCAGAACACAAGTCTTACACTCATCGTTTAAAGTCCAAATTATTAACGACACAGATAACTCTTCAAAAATCTGTTCATGCTCCCTTTTACACTGTTATCAAACCTAGTAAAAGGTTTTTTCTACTATTTTTAATAGTATCTATCACTTTTTACACAAGACAATACATAGAACAGTTTAAAGACCTCTGAAATAATGCRATTAACAACTTTTAAAAAAATCAGTATTAAAAGTCTTACTTCTGAATCATTGTTTGCCATTCTCCTTCCCGATCTCCTATTGGAAATCTGTCAATCTGTGCTTGAATTTTGGTTCTCCACTCTCGCATATAGTCTTCAATATCAAATACAAATGGGTGTTGTCCAAAATTAGCATCCACAACCTCTCCTGGTGTCTGAAGCCCTACTGTAGGGTACAAGTTTGGCTGCAAGAAATATTTTAATTAGTTTTTGACTCATTCTAAAATCCACACTGTTGTTTTTTTTTGGGTTTTTTTCATCTCTAGTAATATACCCACTGCTTCTAGTAGTGTGCTCCAGCAGTAAAAGCAGGTTCTGCCAATGCAGGAAAACAATGACTGAGTAATTTTATTTCCAGTGGTCATAATTTTTCTTTTTAGTTTGAAAATCTTACTGACAATTCTAATCAGAAAATACACTTTTAAAACGGTGCTAAATGTTACAACTTTTGGGGTAACTTCAAAAATTATTACGTAAAATTTTCTGATTATTTTTAAAGACCAGTTTTTTTCTTTTAAAAGAAGGACAGAAATTTAACTTACAAAATGGGCTATTTTCCTTTTGGGAAATACTTCAAACATCACTGAATTTTAGTGGTAAGAACTGACAGGATAGTACCTAACAAGAACTATAACAGTGCACTGAAATTTTTGTGAATTCCTGGGCTTGTATCTAGGAAAATACTTTATAGCATTTATTTTGTCTCAGTTTTATCTTCTGCTTAGAGATTAGGTCTCCCTGCAAATTTGAAATATAAGAAAGGTAAAATCTGCCGGTTGGGATAAAAGCCATTTTCTGAAGTGCAACGAGCAATTAGCTATTAGCAATAGCAAGGCAATCAATTGGGTGAATGGGGTTTTGTTGCTGGGATCTTTGCAGGGGGGGCGGTGGGGAATAGTTTAAAAATGTTTCTGAGGTTTATTTAATAAACATACCTACATCATAATTACACTGCAGACAATGGTGGTATGGTATATGGGTATGCTGATCTACAGAACTATATGCTAAATAAATTCAACCTATCACTAAGAAGCTATAAACATGAAGGTCAGCAGGAACTCTGAAGCCCAGCAAACCCAGTGGAATGAATACTCTGGTTGCTCAAATCATGCCCAGGACAATCCTGCCTCTATTTTCACACCATTTTAAATAAATATGCTTATACTGTTACCTAGTCTAAAATAATCAACAAATCATAAGTCTCAAATCTTTTAACAAGATGGAAACAACTGATTCTAACAAGGGGTTCAGCTTCATACTTCAGATTATAGTGTCAGTTTTCCTGAGCTGGCACCATGTGCTAGCAAGGAGCCCTGCTAGCATCCCAAAGATCCAGGGCAGTGGATAGTGGCAATGGTTTCCTACATAAAACAATCAACCTTGTGGTAGGACTAGGAGGCTCCCTGGGTTACTGACTTCATTTCTCCTTAATATCTGTCCTTGCCTCTTAAGGCCATAGAAAGGGAGCAGTTGGCCAAATGGACATGCATCACACAGTGCACCTTACACAGATTAARTCAGAAATTAAGTAGATGAGAAAAAAAAAAAAAGAGTAAGTGCAGTATCATGCCTGAATCAGTAGTATAGGGAACAGATGCCAGTTTTAAGGAAACTTAACAGTTTTAAGGAAAGCACAATTTGATTGACTTAAAAGTTAAAAGACTTACATATGTGCAGTTTTCTTTAAAAACAAAAAAAAGTAATTTGATACATTTCATTTTATGAAGCAAAGGTTTTGAAAATCAGGCATCAAGAATGAGTAACAGTGACCATGTCTCAAGCAGCCATTCAACATGTTGGTGTTTAATACAGCTTTGACTTTGTACATAATGCTTGAATGCGTCAGAGTATGTAACAATTATTTGCATGTATTATTTTCTGCTAAAACTTTCACTAGAACTGCCTGTTAAAACATGAAAAGGAAAACCACTTGTATGGATTGGTATAAAACCAAAACACTTCCTACTTCAATTAACAAATCACCATTGAAATTATGATGAAAAATACCTGATATTAAATTGGCTACAAAGATTATTGTTATAATTCCAACAAGCATAAGGTAAATGCTAGTTTCATCTGAAGCATCTGTTTGAAAGGAAWACTGTTTGAAAATGCACTTATCTTACCGGTAAATCTGTGAAAGCGATGCCTGTAATAAAGAGAAAATTAAGATTAATTTCCATATGTCTGGATTCTAGCCTMATTTTCTTAAATGAATCATAATATATTCCAAAAACTCGCCCAAACAATCTCAGAAATAAGTTAAGTATGGTGAAATCCACAATGCTTAGGCATAATTCATGTTTTTAAATAATAAAGGGCAGTATTTGGCAAAAAGTAATTGCCAATCAAAAATACTTATACTGTCCTTAATTTTTTCAAAATAGATCGTAAGGTTTAGCAAACCATACAGATATGCAGATTAGAAAGTATGAAAGTTCTAGCTACACACTAAATTTAAGAAGGTAAGGATWTCTGAAAATACTTTTTCACTTGTATGCCTCAATGCTGCAACATCAAGATTTAATGGTGTCTTTCTTTTGTTTCCTATTACTTTTCTTCATAAGTACTCCCTCACAATCTTTACACAAGCAGCACATGTCCATAATACTCCAAACCAGCTTGCAAATGTTTCACTTTAATCCACGACAGCATGCTTTGCTTTTCAAACAGAACAGCTTAATATCTTGTTACATAATTACAAGCGTCCATCTACACAAAACCAAGGGAGTGATTTTGCAGTCTCAGGATTAGAGAAAAATATGACCTCTATACACTTCAGGAACTTTGGGAAATTTCAGGGGCTGGAAAGCTTTCAGTTAAAAAATAAACATCAATAATCTCCTTCTGACAGCCAAATAACAACAGTATTTCAGAATTTCCTTTATTATTGCAAGTATTTTTTTTAATTGCAGTTATTCAAATTTCAATTTATTTGGTATCACCATCTTTTCAAATATAAGATGAAAACATTCCAAATTCCATCTTCCTAAATTCCATCCCTGCTTTCAATTTCCATTCTTCACCAGGATTTCAAACCTCAAGAGCATCTGGATTCCTTACCCACATCTTTTGAGACAAAAGGATGACATACAGAGTGAATCTGTTTCCTTTGTTTCCTCCCATCATACCTCAAAGCTGTAATTTTATTTATTCCTTGCTTTTACCCTAACTTTTCCTAAGCTATAGCACTTTTCTATTTGGTAATATTGACATCCAACTTGCTCTTTTCCAAAATGGAGGCTGTAGGCATGACAAATACACGGTGACTAAGTGATTGGGGGTTTTGGCATGGTTGGTTTTGGTTTTTTCAATCCAGGATTTCACACTTGCATAAGAATTGCTTAGCCCTTTCTGCAGCATCAAATCCCAGGCTGAGACAGAGACTTCCTATATTCTGGACCATATATGTGGCCCAGAGAACAAACATAAATGTCCTCCAACTTACGAACATAGAGGAATTCTGGACAACTCGCAGCAGCAACAACCCAGTGAGACAGACAAAATTTCTGGTTTCTTTTTCCACTCAACACAGAATCAATTTTCTTCTGTCAGAAATTCAAGCTAGCAAAGCCCATGACAGCAGAACAGCTGTCAGGTTCTCTTCTGAAATCCATAAAGTGTTTGTCAGACTCTGTTYATGACAGATGACATTTTACTAGCCTCTCCTCACCTATGCCATTCTGCTCTCCTCTAAAAACAGATTTTAATCATTTGCACTGTTGTTTCACAGTTGGCCTAATCCAGTCAGCTTTAAGTTTTCCACTGAAGAGGAAGGTTCTGCTCTTGCCTTCATAGCCTTTTCATGCTTTCATGTGACCATAAGGGCAGTGAGAACACTCATGTCTCTTTAGTTATCAAATCATCCAACTTACCTGCAGGCATACTGTGAATGTTTCAAAARCAGAGTAAGGTAAGACTGCTCTTCTCAATTTTAACCCAGTTAAAGATTAGGGCAAACATAAGCCTGTTATCTTCCACTTGGACATCCTGTAACAGGATGCCAAAAGAAACAACTACACAGTACACTAGGGACTAGGCACAGTCCCACTGCCCGAGGTCTCAAAGTATTGAGACCAGGTACACAGACTCATTCAATTYAAAAGGAACATTAAATCATGATAGCATAGAATCACAGAAGTGATTACTTGGAATTGACCTCAAGAGACTTCTAAGCCCTGCAGTGAGTAGAGGCAGAAAAACTCTCAAGTCAGATGTATTTGCTCAGGGCCTAAGCAAACAGTCAGTCTTGTTCAGGGAAACTAGGAAAAGAATTTAAACCACATCCTTTTCCCTTTTTCCAAACCTCCTTTGTGTTTGCCCRTGTAAGAAAACAGAACAGCAAATTCAAGAACACCTATCTCTTACTTCATTTTATGCTATCATCTCCTTTCCTTATCATATTTCTACCCATCATGAAAACCATATTCTTCTTCGAGCTTTATCCCTTCAAAGTTCCTGCAACACTCACCACAATTCCAAGATCTCTTCYCAAGCCCCCACTCCCTTCCTTAATGCAGGAAGTAATAAGTAATTTTCCCCTCTTTTTTTACACTCTGTATCTTTGCTCATTAAATTGCATTAAGTAACTGAAATAGATACGCCATAAAATTTTTTAACTCCACCCACCCCTGACATCTTCAAACTAAAAAATTGTCTTGCAGTGTTGCATAATACTATAATTTRCTGTATGAGTTTAATGGACTTAATTTTAGCTCAACTTGTATAATTTATGGCTTCAGCCCAACTATGAATGACTCTAGACTGGGAAATTGAAAGACACTATTCTCCAGCATATGTTCAAAACAACATGCATCCAATGTAAGGTTCTAGTGAAGGCTGGGTGTTCCTCCTACAGCAGCAATKAATTTTAGCTACATCCATTCTCCTGATCTTCACTGCTCTTATTATGTATTACTTTATGAACATCAAGCATTATTTGTGAAATTAGTAGTGGAGTTCATTAACGCAAATCCTGTGGAATGAGATGCTGTATGATGAATCCTCCCAAATTCACAAGGAATGTTAGTGCAAATGGCAGAGAAGAAATTAYTTTCCCAGTTCTTTAATTACTTAATAGACTATCAAACTACCCAAAGAACTATTCCAACACCACGCTCCCGATGTGAAGAGGGTTTCCTGTTTACAACAGACTTAAAGACACAATGCTGTCATGAAAGGCAGCATTTCTCCATACCCAGGCTGTGTCCATTCTTTGTGTAGAAGCAGGTGTTATTGATAAGGTTGACACAACAACCAATGACATCACCCGTAGTAAACGTTGGGCCGTAAGGTTGTCCCGTTCCAGAGGAACAGAATGAATGTCCATCATCTCCRTGGTAACCATATGAATGTTTATCCCAACCTAGAGAACAAAAGCATTTGCAAATTATTCWTTTCCTTTGTTATTAAATAAATTGAAGACTGTGCTAGCTTGGTATATTCTAACCAGGTTMATACAGTTAATTACTATGCTCAGCTTTCTGCTTTCTTGTATTTCTGATCTAGGAAATCTGTATAATTTTTTTAATGACATTTTATCAAAGTGGCTGAATAAGTAATTCCATTTGTAGTATWTAACAGGTAACAGAAACTCAGATAACACATTTTTCTCTTTAAGCAAACATACAAAATTACCAATACCAAAACCATAATCAGCTACAATGCTGAAATTCGAAAAGCTATATACAGATCTGACATGTCCCAGTAAAGCAGTGAAGACACTCCGACACTCCTGTTGTTCCTTTCATTTTGCAAAACTATTGCTACCATATGTCATAATCAGATTCTTCCTGGCTAAAACCCAAACATGCATCTCTGGGGAATCATATTTCTGYTCCTGATTATTCTCAATGACTATTCAGCAGCAAACAATCTCTGCATAGTAACAGAATCTCCAGACTAAAGTGTCACTAGCTATGCTGCACCTAAAAATTAAAATAAATTTTTAATARAAGGAAAAAAATGGCAATACACGTGAAAATCACAGCCAAGAGCAAATCAGTATGCATGCAAATATGGTGCTGGTTTTGCAGGTGAAGAARCTGTAGAATCTTTAAGAAGCTTCATACTGTAACACTACTCAATGAAATTCATGGCAAGCAATTTTGGCCTGTGCTCGTTTATATATACCTATCTACACTCCCTGCAATTCAATACTTAACTTCTTCTGTCAAGCTGTTGCCTAGTAGGTTAATTTGAAAGCATTTACCACACTTAGACCCCTAATCTTTATCATCAGTAGCTTCAGGTGGTACAACATTAAGCATCTCTCAGTAAATTAAWGACGTCGCCAAATTATTACAGTTACATTGATTAGTAATACCTTTCATAATTACAGCATCCTAAATCATACACAAAAATAATATTAATGCCACCCATTAATAATCCATCAGCCTTAGCTGGGCCCACAGTGTAACTGTGACTTGCAGTCATCCTAAGAATCTCTACCAGAGCATTTAGGTAAGAAAGTTACAATGCAAAAGTAACAGAATGTAGATGCTTGTAGGTCAATTCAACCTAGTTTTATATTTTGCTAATTTCAAAGAAGTCAGTTGCTTTGTTTTGGGTGAATATTTTTACACATTTAAAGACCTATTAAAACTCCAACATTTTATGTATACACACACTAATCTGGTTCAAGTACTATTTAGAGATACTACAGACAATTGTTAACTACACAGTGTCCATGACCATGTAGGGCAATGGAACAGCCAAAACTTAAAACTAGGCTACACACTCTCAAGGCTGGAAAGGTAAAGGTATAGGAAGTGACAGAAGGAGAGTTCCCTCTATGTTTGACAGAAAGTTTTTATCATAATAGCTCATCTGTATTGCTAAAAATCCAGTTTACAGAGTCTGGAAATCTACAGCTTAATTTTTATCAGGAAACATGATGAAAATTTTAAAATGTTTTTATTTTCTAAAAAGTAACTGCATAATATTATAAAAAACAGTAAGCAAATGTACAGTAAAACTTCTCAGCAGGAAGTGTTACATAACTCCAGTAACAGATACAACACAGAGGTGTCATGCTACACTCTCTTGCTTAGTAAAGGTGAAGCRTATTTTAAAAAACAATGTAAGTAACTGAAACATACCTGGTAGTCTGTTCATGTTCACACCCTGTGCCGAAAGCCCAATTCCCATGTAACTAAAAATGAAAGAACAAAAGAAATGCATCTGTCTCTTACCAAAATACATMTGTATGTGAACAAGGCCAAGAAACACTGTGCTGACTGATCATATACCAATTAAGATACTGAGAAGTCATTTAATAGTGGCATAAGAACAAGAGATCTGAAAAGGAATTCCCAGCATATATGGTTTAACATGGACAGATCCTGTCTTCGCAGAAAGTAAGGACAACATACTTCCATTTGGAATCCTGGGTTAACAATGGAGAATAAAAGTATTAGCAACAATGTTTAAAGCATACATAAAGAAAGCCAGAGGTCACATCTTATTTTGAAAGTACGGGTGCAGCGATATAGATAGCATTTTCATCATCTTCAACACACCTAATAATGTTTTGCAGACAAATTGGAATGAGTAATTTTATAAAAYACATGCAACACTCCATTATTTGAGCAGCAAAATGCATCCTTGCACAACACTTACAAAAAGATCACACTGAACCATCAAAGACCAGGATTGGAGAAAAGAATGTTATCTTGAGAAATTTATCAGCAATGGCACTTAGCTGTTGGCAATCTGATGGCAAACTAAAGAGGGGAGAATATTTTCACTATACTAACCAATAATCTGAAATAAAGTCCAAAAGCCAGCTTTACAAGAGGTGTTTTTAATAAAGTCAGAGTCCAGCATAATTGTTAACAATTTAATAGCAAATACTGGAAAGCTGACATGAAGATTTCYTCACCTCTAAATGACACTATTGGAAGTCAGCAAAATAAATTTTGCYTGTTTCTTAAGCAAAACTAATGCCATTACCAAGACAACAGGAATACAAAAAGAGAAACGGCAAAATGAAAAGCTAGGCTTTCACTACTGCCCCTTACCCAAAATAAAGCAACTCTCCCCACCAACTAAAGCAAGCATCCAAAAATCCCCTAAGCCCAGTTCCCTAGTTATCAAATCATTCAAAGTATTTTGACACTAGTTCACATGAGTTAACACAAATTTGCTATGATTAATAAACTRTATGGAAACAAAAAATTCACTTGTGTCAATCTGAAAATAGTTTAAGTCAACAAACAACGACCTTTGTATTCCCATCTCATAAAATGCAATTTTTAAGTAACTATTCCACTCGGAAGTGAAGGTTAATCTGCAATTTCAAATGGTTTTGACATAGAATGAAACTGAACAGGACATCTCAGGAGCGATATGCTTAACTGTGTACTGGGCATTCTGCTTTTTCTGTGGATCACTTCTAACAGTTACCTTACCTGCTTCTATGTTTGATACTAATAAATCCCTCCTCTGATAATAATATCATCCTCCTCTCCCTCAAATATACCAGCATGAAATGGAACCTTAGAATCATATATAGCAGCTATTAGACTTAAAAATACTGAAGAGCTGAAGCAAGGGCAACAAACAAAAGGATTACTCTTTGCTGCACTGTTAAATACAGATACATTACTGAGGTACCACTACACCAGCAGATTCAACGAAACAATTATAAATGAAAGCAACAAGTGGAAACCCCTTGATTTTGTCTTAAATAATAAAAGCAGAATTGTTATTAGCATAGTCTGAGGTCTGACMCATGAAGGATACTCATGTAAAGACTGCAAATCTCTTGTTCATTAAAGAAAGAATGTTTACTTCTAAAACCAATTTTAGATAACTTAAAACTCCACCGACTGCAAAAAGCCTTTGAATGTGAGTCATGTTAAAAACCCTTCACCCCAGTCAAGGTTTTGTTTCAGTCTTTTTATAGTCACAAGACTAAGGTTACACAAAAATGTAAAATGCTAGATAGAAAATCATTGTCTAGACAACATTTTRATATCACCACTGTTTTTCTCCTCCGATATCCTAACTTCCAAGCACCCTCTAGCTCAGAACAGCTGTAAATACAGACACACCGTATTTAATACAGCTGGGAACAAGGAATCTTTACCCACTGGCAATGACAAGAGAGCACTAAGCACTGCCACCATCTCAGTAAGACAGATGTTCAACAACATGTATTTYTCCCTGGGATTCACTTACAACTACTTGAAATGTTAACACCATTTCGTGAAGGAGACTTGATATTAACAGAAACTGAAGTTAAATTAAAGCATTCCAAATAATTAGYAAATTCGCGATAAACATCTTTCACAAGGCAAAAGGAATGTCTACAACTCATGGCTAGAAGTGAGTGAAATTAAAGACTCATCAATTAAGCTAATTTATTATTTTTTATAGTTGATCAATAGCTAATCTCATGTTCAACTAGGTTAGTACACTATAAATTGAGGGGGAAAATAGTACCATGACAGTAAGGCTTTAAATGCTCTAAAATTTATTAACAGGAGTTGAAATTATGCCAAACCACTACACGTAACTTTCTTACCTTTTCCTCACTCCTGTAACCTTCACAGACTGGAATAGATTTGTCTGATTTTTTTAATACACTTAACCTATGTTTAGATCAAGCATCAGGGAATGYAAAAAGGCTTGCTTTAGTGGGACGAATTACATAAACTGCCCTCCTGTTTGCTGCTTAAAGTTCGCATTTCATGCACCTCAGGCTCAGAAGAAGAGTGGCAGAGCTATGTATCTAAGTTTTCCTCTCTTAGTCTACAATAAAAATGAAAGGCAGTGCAACAGGCAATCTGGGTGCAATGCAGGCCCAGAATGTTCTACGTCACTTCATGATGCACTTCTTGCTGCTCCTGTCACATTAATGGGTTTCGTCTARGAGAGAGTCTAAGTGGACCTGTTCTTCCTGTCTGTAGCTGTTCCAGGCCATAAGAACTGTCCCTGGGAAGTGGAGATGTCAGCACCAGAAAGCAGCAYGCTCAGTTCATCCTGTACCTTCCAAAAACAGACCTGACACAGCATGGCTTGAGTGACCAGACAGGGTGAACAATGATGTGGTTCTGATGCCACCTCCCTCAGTACCTGAGGCCTGTCCCTCCACCTCAGCTCCCTACCCATACACATCCCTGGCTGTTGTGGTGGGAGGATCATTTACCCAGGCAAATGGAACCAAGTGGCCTGGGGTCCATTTTAGTAAGTAGCCCCTCTTTGTGAGCAATTTCAGTCCCACTAGTGACTACTCATCACCTCATTAAAGTGCTCAAATCTTATAAGAGCTCATAAAATAACCAACAATCACTCACGGAAGACATGAAATCAACTCATGAGAGACTGAAATAAGACACTTTAGCTGAAAAACAATTCAAAGAGCAACCAAATTGGTACTAAGGACAAAGAATTACCATTTTACAATCTCAGCACATTTTCTAGTTTACATTTCACAAGTCATATAGAAACTTTAGGAACACCCCAAAACTACATTATTTAAAATTTGCTGAAGATCCAATTTTTTACCACAAAACAAAAGAGAAAATGTCAAAAAATAAAGGCACTACGATACCTACTTTTTTCCTGTAACAAATACTGACAAGCCTAGGCCTCTCTACAGAGAAGTGCYTGAGAAGCAGCAAGCTCACAATAGCTATTTTCTCCTCAAGTATCTTTCTAGTCAAAGAGCTAAATTTACATTTTTGCTGGAGCCTAAAGTTTCTACTTGGATGCCTGAATAGACTAATTGTGAGAAATAAAAAAGCCAGAGCCGAATACAAAGAAAAAACAGCAGCAAGAGATGGTACAGAACTGCAGATGCTAGAAGAGCGAGAAATTTAAAAACCCTCAAAGAGACAACTCTGAATTTTATTTTTAACTGTTCCATTAGATCTTTCAGSCACTGTTTTGATGGTATATGGAAGATCTTTCAATATGAAAGCTGATAAAAATCAGCACTCAGGTTAATTATATCCTATCCTGCTCATTCCATAAAGAGGAATACAGAATCTCAAAAATTATACCGAACCACAGATACCTCAGAAAGGCTAAAGATAAATTCAACAACTAAATAACCACTTTTCTAGTAAAAAACCCAAATATAAAACACCAAAAATTCCATACTGAACTTATAAAGACAACTAAAATAATTTAGCAGATATTTACATAATAATATGTAATAACCTCCCTACTACAGAGGTTTCACCTACTATCTGCAAAGAGTCAAATTCCTTCTGACTTCCATTGTGCCTACATATGTTACTGAAGGYATTATAATCTGGGGCACTGCTACATGATGCTTCCAAAAACAACTCTTTTGGTGTTGCAGAAATTAAGTAAACAAGTGGTATCTTACTCCCTACRTGCTATACATTTAAAGAAAGAAACTTCAACAATACAGTGTCAAAACCTAAGTTAGCACAATATTGATAGGGAACCTACAGCAAAGCACTAACAGATGTTTACACCCATAAATAAGGCAACTGAAAACACCCTAATGTTTTGAATTCATTGACTATTAAGAAAAGTAGAATTGACACKGAATAACAAAGTCAGCTATGGAACAGGTACAGCTTGTTTTATCATTATGCTTATATCTCGGAAAGAGGACAAACAGAAAAAAACATCATCTGCAGGAATTTAAAGACTCAATGCACTTCTACAGGGCCTTTGCAACTGACATAAAAAAGTATGAATTATGTTCTCCTGTAGTTTTCTGCACTGTCTTCACTGACAATATATGACCAGAAATAAGGCACATTAAAAAGGTACCTACATGTCATCTTTAATATAGTTACACTGCATTAAAATTTTGTAGAAATGTGCCAATTCAAGAGCCTTATTGTCTGCACAATTACAATAAGAAATGAGATGTTAATCTATTTAAATGTTTCAAAATATGCCACAGACAGTTTGAGTCTTTCATTTCAAATTGAAAACAAGTTTAATTTTACAGAGTATTTCCAAGGAAACAGTATTTTGAACATGATAAACCCTGGTTTCAGATTAATCCAGTTCTGCGGAGAGAGGAAAAACCAAAAATAAATCAGGCAGTCATTTTACATAGTGCTTGAAACTGTTACTCCTGTACCGGTTTGCCTGTGATTCCTCTAATGTTCCTAGAACAATTCTCATTTACTGACATCCCTCTCACTTTCAGGTTCCACC